CGAGGGTTTCAGTTGGAAAATTATCCAAACGCTAGCTTCCATATTATTGTTCTATAGAAACTACTTTTTCATTGGTATCTACGGAAACGTTCTGATTCCAAACTAAAAAACCGTTTGAATGGNTGAAACGCCAGTTGCAAGTTTGCCCTTTTATGCTTGCAACGGAATTCCCTCGAGAGTTATTTCCATCAGTGGCCTGTCCATGGATGCGAAATTCACTGGTCCAATTTACATGGACGTTATTTCTTTTGAAGAAGGAGACCCATTTCTAGTAACTGCAATGCTTTCCAAGGAATTCCCATGAGATTTTGGCACCAAGCAACGCTCACCCTCAATGCCTGAGAGCGGCAGTCTGAGAAAGACATGATTTATTCATACATTCCTTCCCACAACGCCACTAAATTTGCTACGCTATCAGAGTCAGGCTCATGACACGGAGAAAACCGAAATCCGTGACTGAACGGGGACAAATGAGCTCGTTTGAGCAAGAGGGGTCACACTTTGAAAAGGGCCTGGGAGCCGATTGCCACTATTAGGAGTTGTGCAAGCGATTTTAGGGAAAATGCGAGCTGTTACACCGTTCACTTCTCTCCATCTGGGTTGGTATCTTCCAGGGAATTCTAACCTGTGAGGTATATTTCTTAGATCAAGGTATGGGACCAAATAAGCCATTTTTGCCACCCTACTAGTGGCCTGAATGCCTCAAAATTTCAGAGGTGCAACCAGTTATGTGGTTCAATAACCTCTAGCTGATCCATGACTCTTTTCCCGTGGCTTTGGTGACTACCTCTCTCCATGATGTTTTCCAAATCTGGTTCCAGTACCGTGGCGCATGCCAGATACGCATGAGGAGAGGAAAGAATAGGCTCTGACTGATGAGAATCATTGTAAGAGCCCACATTTGGACACATATCTAATTTTTACCTTTCTGAGCGATCATTATAACCAACGACCTCCTTCTTGATTCTCTAGAGAAGTTACTTCATTTTCAGGCAAATCACGAGTGAAATTTTCGAAAATTGTCGGCTTTCCACGCAGAATTGCCAAGTTTTTTTTCATGCAATTGTAAATTGGAATCACATTGTTTCGCCAAGAAACTCTGCAGCAGAAGCGGCGTAGTTTAGCCTGTGAGAGGGTGAGAAAAGCAAGAAGTGAAAAAAAAATTGGGCAAATAAAAGTAGAAAAGTTTTTGATCAGAAGCTTTCGAGGAAAAATAAACACACGTCTCACGCAGTACAGTAGTGAGCCACCTTTGAAAAGAGTCACTTTCCAGGGCCTTCTGCAGAGTTGCGCTTCTCAGGAGGAAAAATGATCATACTGGTAGAAGCAGTGTCCAGTCCCTTCTAAAACGGTTGAAACGTTTCAATTCTTTTTAGCTTCTCTGAGCTTTGCTAGGCGATTATGTTGGTTTTGCTTGTAACCCTAATGGGCAGCGTGGGAATTTGTGCTCGTAAAGCCAAACGGGTAATCTCAGCAGGACTACCAGATTCTCTGTATTCAGCTAACCATAAGGTTCCCTTCTGTATTCGAGCAGATATATAGTCTTATTTTGCGTTGTCCTCAACTTTTTTTCATTACTAATGCCCTTCAAGACTTGCTTTCAGCCTTCTCTCTCATTTTTGATTCTGTGGTGGTGATACGTAGTATATGGGAGGGTGACTGTAAATTCAGAGGTATCTTAGCGAGAAGTCGAAAAATTTCCCAGAAAACGACTAGTTGAACGTGAGTTGATTGAACTAATTTGCTTGAACTTTTTGCTTATATGAACACTTATTTCTATTAGGGTAATGGCACCTTTATCTCAATTTCAGTTTTTCCCAAGCTCAGTCTCAAGTTTTTTCACAAAGGCTTCAAAAAACCCTAGAGCCTTCTTTCAAGTTAAAATAATGTGGGTCACTAAGATACTCTGGAATATTTGCTTGTTCGAATTTCAAGGACAGGGGCATTTGATGTGGAAATTTTAATTAATTCTACCGAACTTTCATTGAATTTCGTTGCATTATACGACATTTTTTTCCATTTCAATTTTCGAGTATGTGTATGTTGAATATTGGCATTTAGTTCAGTTTCTGACCTGCTTTTCATTATTAGGCGAAAGTTTTCATTCGAATTTTTACATCACTCGACCCCCTGGATTTTGCATTTAACTATTCTATACACTCTGGGCCCATAGCTCGAAGTTGCTTTTGATCTAGAACCAGTTTTCTTTGTTTTTCCGAGCTTTTTCCGAGCTTCAAACGAAAAAATAATATAAATTCGATCCTTTCATACTTTTATTGTTGAGTTTCAGGCTTAACTCTGTTCCATTGGCCCCTTACTTACTTATCCTTGCCGTTATCGTTAGGGCCTTCGTCTATAAATAAAATTAATTCCTTTTCAGAAATTCATTTTGATCCACTTCATTACTGTTCATCAGTTGGGCTGGAACGGAAAACTTTATGCAGCCGCTGGGATCATGTGAACAGTAGTGATGTATTTCGGGAATTTTTTGCTCGTTTTCCCATTACTGGCTAATGCATTTGAAGCATTTGAAGAGCAAAACTGGTAAGTAAGTCCACCTCCGTTTCTCAATAAGTTTCTTCAAGTTCCTTCTTCTTCTTCTTCTTCTTCTTCAATCGTTTTAGTTTCTCCAATTTTCTTCTTCTTCTTCTTCAATCGTTTTATTGTTGAAAGAAGTTCAAGAAAGCTGTGAAACATTCGAGGGTTTCAGTTGGAAAATTATCCAAACGCTAGCTTGGATATTTGTCTTTAACTGCAACTTCTTCTTCATTGGTATCTATGAAACCGTTCTGATTTAAAAATAGAAAACTTTCCGAATGGGCCGTGCGTTTGGCTTCAGATCAGTTTCGGGAAAAACGTTGGTATCCCAGCTAAGCGTCTGTCATGAATGGGGCGAGATTGGCAGTAATTAGCCCACTGCAACTAAAAGGAAGCGGAAGGGGAATGGGAAGAGCAAGATTCCGGTATAGCTGACGTCGACTTTTTTTCAGTATTTTATTGTATTACTAACCTTCTTGCTAGAATTACAAAGTGGTGTCACCCTCGAGAGAGGAATACGCCGAAAGGCTCCTCGGACCATTTCTTTTTACGTTGGACTTGGTTTTGGAATACAGGGATTGCTTCTGAAGCACATTAAACCCACTAGTGAGGCCACTACAACCAAAACTTGAGGTTGGGCGAGATTACTATGAAGGAAAAAAACATGGAAGGGGTAATTGGACGAGATTTCGCTTTGCGCAAAGAACTGACTACATCAAGCCAGAACTGTACAGAACTACATTCCATTGTCACTACGGTTCATGACAGGCTGTTTTATCGCCCTACCTACATTGGCTCCCTTGCAATTGTTGCAGCTTCTACAGTCCAGGTGAAACTCGTCCGAGGATACACACGGCACAATTTTCGAGCCTTTATAACGCCCCATCTAGGCGTGCATCTTTGCAGGTATGGCAGCGCCACGGGCGGCATATGGGGATTCTACAAACTCATTCTTGCGGGATATCTCAAAAAAAGTTTTTAACGTGAATTATGCTTTTAATGAAATTCCGGCGAAGCTCTAGGTCGCAGTTAGACGTTGACCCTCAGGATCATGAGCCTTTCATGGTTCTCACTGTATCGACCTGCTTTGAATACTCAAGTCTCGTTCAAGCTCAAGGATTCAAAGGTAGTTCCAGAAAATCAGGGATCCCAAATGGAGTTGTTTTCATTTGTCTGAGTTGATAGATTTAAGGAAGTGATCATTTTAAACAGCTCAGCCCCCTCCCCAGCTTGTTGACTTTGAAAAGAATGAACCTCATTCTTCCCCTAACAAAGTGGATTATTCAGAAATAGCCTATTTTTTCTGGAATCAGCACAATTAGATCCATAGAATTATGCGCTATTTGAACAAAAACTTTCCAAGAACTTCTATTTTGGAGTTTGATCCCTTATGCTTCACTGTAGCCACTATTGATCTACTATCAATGCCATCAATGCTATTATTTCTTGAGTAGAACTGAATCCTCAAAATTTCAGTCCCTACGGTGTTTGTTCTGAAGCACCTCCCCCAAATCTTACGATAGCACCTTTTGGCAGCGGACTTTGCACTGGAGACGATGTTATCATCGGTAAGCGGCCTTTTTTCTTCGCCTCGTTCCTTATCGTTCTATTTACGAGTAACGAACCTGTTTTAGAGCACATCCTCCATGATTACAACAAGCTTGAACTGCCAGGTGGAGGGCATGTGAAGGTTTCTGTTGAGGTATGAACTCGTTGTAGAAATTCATTTTAAATATGTAAATAGTTAACATAAAAATACGTTCACTAGTTCGTGCTGGCATTCACATAAATACTAAGTAAGATGCCTCACAAGGTAAAGTATGGGATAGTGTGCATTGTCATACACACAGGACACGGACTGAGTCAGCGGTGCCAAACTCAAATGGGAGTATAAATGTACTGACGTTTATATTACCTCACTACCGCGCGAGTCATTGTATGGCCCCATGTGAACCCAAAACGCTTCTATTATTCTAAATGGAAGTCGAGTGCAGTGCGCATCCCAGCAACGCGATTGCTTAGCGCCGAATGACTTTATTATTGTTTGTTATTTTGAGGTAATGTGAGCAGTCTCTAATAGTTCGGGAAAGCTTCGAGAATGTAGAGAGCTAGAGGTACTGAGGCATTTTGAGGATGTGCAACGATTTTTTTAAATTTTTTTTAATTCAATAAACTGTCATCTGCTGCGAAAGCCTCTTCACATCAGTCACCTAA